CTAGTTGATCCACATTTGAGGGAGGAAAGTGTGGATCATCTGAGTGACTCTCCACTTGCGACAGCGATGACTGGGATCCATGTATGAATCTCTGTGCTCCACTTCGCCACCTGGTACGACAGTTGTCTTCCAAATGAAGCAAAGAATTAAGAAATCTGACAGTTTGTTTTATACGACTGTGGGGACTGTGGGCGGAGTTTCACTGAGAGCCATGATCGACAGTGGCTCTATGTCGTGCTCTATTAGTGAGGCTACTGCTACGCGGCTTTTACAGTCCTGCCCTGATCTGAAGCTCGAACCAGCTAATGACATTGTTGTTGTTGGTGCTGGGGGCCACCAGTTCCAACCTAAAGCAGTTTGTGATTTGGAAGTGACTCTTTATGGTTTCAAGCTGCTCATCCCCACGCTGGTTATTCCAGGCCAAAGTGACGACATGATTATTGGCAGTAACGCTATTAAGTCGTTGATTCATGTAATGAAGAATACGGATGAGTATTGGAGGCTTGTATCTATTTCAGGTGATGTCACCAATGATGACTGTAGACAGTTTTTATCCATGCTTTCCAATGTTGAGCGTTGGCGAGGAGGGGCGGTGCCTGATAAGATTGGCACAGTGAAGTTGAGACAGCGTGTTACGCTGGAACCCCTTCAGGAACACCTTGTGTGGGTAAATTACCTCCCTCTTCACCTCTATCAGCAGGCTGCACTGTTATTGTTGAGCCTACACAGTCACGGTGTAGACCCAGAGACATCCTGGTTGGCCGCTCCGTCTCATCATTGTGGGGTGACAAATGGGTTCCTCTCAAGGTGATTAACCCCAGCAACAAGCGTGTGATTCTGAGGAAGAACTGTAAAATCGCTGATGTCTACCCCTGTGTCGCAGTTGAAGAGCTGTCTCCCCCTGAAAAGATCATGTCTAACAGCCACTCTTTTGAACAGGGTTCTGTTCCCATAAGGTCTGTTGAACAAAGGAAGGAACTCTTGCACAGACTAGGACTACAAGACTTGGACTTAGACAGTTGTGAGGTGTCTGACAGATGGAAAGATCAGCTTCTGCAGCTTGTGGAAAAGTATGAGTCTATCTTTTCTAAGGATAAATGGACTGTGGAGAAGCTACTGATTTTGTCCACAAAATACACCTTGTGGATGAGAAGCCTTTTCGCTTGCCTTATCGCAGAGTACCGCCGAGTCAGTATGAGAAGCTAAGAACTGCTCTGAATGAGATGGAAGAAAGGGACATAATCCGGAAGTCGAACAGTGAGTATGCATCGCCGCTGGTCTTGGTGTGGAAGAAGGATGGCAGCCTGCGCATTTGCACTGATTTCAGATGGCTCAATGCAAAGACTGTTAAAGACGCGCACCCGCTGCCACACCAAGCCGACGCCCTGGCTGCTCTCAGTGGAAATGTTCTCTTTTCAACAATGGATTTGACTTCTGGATTTTACAATGTGCCTCTCTACGAGCCTCACAAGAAATACACAGCATTCTCCTCGCCCTTTGGTCTCCATGAGTACAACCGGATGCCTCAGGCCTGTCGAACAGTCCGGCGACATTCATGAGAATGATGATGTCGATCTTTGGTGACGAGAATTTCAGCAGCTTGCTTTGTTACTTGGACGACTTGATGGTGTTTGCGCCTGACGAGGCAACTGCCCTTCAGCGCCTTGAGATGGTCTTCTCTCGGTTGAGGAGTCACAACCTTAAGCTGGCCCTAAGAAATGCCATCTTCTTAAGAGGTCAGTTAGATTTCTTGGACATGTCATTTGTGCGGATGGTGTGAGAACTGATCCAGACAAGGTTAACACCATTACCAACATCAGGGAAGAACAGCTTATGGAGAGCGATGGTGTGACTCCCTCCCAGAAGAAGATCCGGTCCTTCTTAGGAATGATCCTCTATTACCAACATTTCATCCCTGATTGTTCTGCGAAGGCCAAGCCCTTGTTTAGGTTACTTTCGGGACGACAGGCAATTCCCCATGGGAGGAAAGGAAAGAAGCTCAGGAAGCAACCCTCTGCCAAACCATCTCTGACACCAAGTGACTGGACATCAGCATGTCGCACATCATTTCAAACGCTCAAGATGGAACTAGTTAATGTTGTCACCCTGGCTCATCCCAACTTAGTGAGCCTTTCATCCTGGCGGTTGATGCCTCCTTTGATGGCATCGGGGCAGTACTCTCACAGGTTTCTCCTGGCGAGACAGTGGCTCGACCTGTTGCCTTTGCCAGCAAGACATTGTCACGGTCTCAGATGAACTACCCAGCGCACAGACTAGAGTTCTTGGCGCTTAAATGGGCCGTGTGTGACAAGTTCAGCCACTGGCTGAAAGGAAGGCACTTCACTGCTTGGACAGACAATAACCCCTTGTCCTACATCTTGACAAAGCCACGTTTAGATGCTTGTGAGCAGAGATGGGTGGCGAAGCTCGCGGCATATGATTTTGATCTAAAGTATGTGCCAGGGGTTAGAAATACAGTTGCTGATGCTTTGAGCCGTGAACCATTTGTCGAGTCATGTATTGGTCATCGTTTGCTGAAAGAACCTTATGTTTGCCCTGCTAGATGAGGTCAACGGGGTTGTGAGGGTACTGTGCAGGATGCTTTTCGGCTGACTAACAACTGCCACATTGTTCAAGACACAGAGCCAGACTCACCAGACTCTGTTTCTGAGTGCGACCTTCAGAGCGAGAGGGGTTCGATCGATGCTGATGAGGTGTCAGCTGTGCTGAGTGCGCAGTGTGACCATGGTTTGACCAATGTCAACCCACCTTTATCACAGCTCCCTGAGGTGGACCCGGTCGTTCCTCTTCCCCAAAGCCAGCTCTCGAGCCTTCAGCAACAAGATCAGGCAATAAACAGAGCCTTTTCTATGTGCGAAGAAAAGGAAGGCTACGAGGCGAGAAGCAGCTTCAGAACCAGGTGGTGTTGGTGGACTTCTCAGGCAGTGGAAGAAGCTTAAAGTACAGAACGGCATCCTGTACAGGGTGATAAGGCATCACCGCTTGAGTAGAAAGATTTTTCAGTTTGTTGTTCCTGATAGCCTGAAGGTTCAAGTCCTCCTCAGCCTTCATGATATGCAGGCCATCAGGCCAGGCACGAACACTTTCCCTCGCCCGTGAGAGGTTTTTCTGGGTCGGGATGGAGAGAGACATAACCAACCATGTTCGACAGTGTGAGAGATGTGTGGTTGGAAAAACACCTGAACCTCATGCCTGTGCACCACTAGAGAACATCCAGACGTCAGAGCCGATGGAGCTAGTGTGCATAGACTTTTGGACTGCTGAGCTCAGCGATAATAAGAAAGTGGATGTCCTGGTCGTAACCGATCATTTCTCCAAGATGGCACATGCCTTCCCCTGCCGAAACCAGTCTGCAAAACATGTCGCACGCAGGTTGTGGGATGATTTCTTTTGTGTTTATGGCTTTCCCAAGAGGATTCATTCGGATCAGGGATCAAACTTGAGAGCAGACTGTTGAAGGACCTCTTAGAGATGGCAGGTGTGCAGAAATCGCATACTACGCCATATCATCCTATGGGCAATGGGGTCACTGAACGGTTCAACAGGACACTTGGGAATATGCTGAGGACTCTCCTTCTACAGCCAAGGCTAGGTGGCCTCAGATGTTACGCACTCTCACGTTCTGCTACAATTGCACAGTGCATGAGACGACTGGTTTGGCCCCCTTTTATGTCATGTTGGGCGAGTCCCACGCCTCCCTGTTGACATGATGTTCCAACATGTGCTGCAAAATGATGATGTGATCAGCCACCATGAGTTTGTCTCACGGTTGCGGAAAGACCTGTTTGATGCCTCACAGATTGCCCAGAACCACGCTTTTCACGAGCAAGCGCGCCATGCCAGACTCTACAACCGCAAAGTCAAAGGCTCACCTCTGGCTGTAGGTGATAGAGTGTGTTGGCCAATCGTGGTGAAAGGGGAAAAAGAAAGTTAGCCGACAAGTGGGATCCCACGCCTTATGATGTTGTGTCAGTTAGGTCTGGGATCAATGTGTACAGGATAAGAGAGAGCCACACAGGCAAGGAAAGAGTTGTACACAGGAACCTCCTTCTCCCTGTTAACTTCCTGGGCTTAGGTGTGGAAGGGAGTCTGGCCTCCCGTGCTGACTTGGACGGAGGGAACCCAACAGTGGAGATGACCAAGGGTCTGTGAGGTCAACACAGATGGATCATCATGACAGGACACTGGACTGGCTGCTGAAAACGCCAGAGATACAGGGTCTCGCTAATGAGCCGGTGGAAGTTGAAGGTTCCCTCGACGTGGGACACCATTCTCTCTGCGTTGTGGACCCCAGCAGTGGCTCTATCGCAGCGGAGGACCCACCCCCTGAAGTTAATGCTGAAGTGTTTGAAAACTCCATTAGTGAATTCCCCTTGCCTGCTCCCGTGATCAGTGATGCTGCTCTCCGTCAAGGCTCTGAACCTGTTGCCGTGGCTCCTGTGGTTCCATGGCTGATGTTGACTTAGATCTGCTATTTGCACACAGCCTCAGACCATTCAGGCGGGCATGGATGGGCTAGCTATCACTAGGTATGGGAGAAGTGTTAGGCCTCCCAAGAGACTGATTTGTGAGATGGCAGCGCAGAAAGTTGAGGAAACTTCTTCTGTTTCAGGGTCAGTTTTTGCATTTCTGACTAGTATGTTTTAGCTCTGAGGGAATTGACTTGGTTTCATGTATCTTTCGACTTATTTTTTTTGTGTGGTCCAGGATGTGATTTGGAGTATTATTTCGGTGCTCTTATATGTGATGTTAAGGAGGTGTAGATGGCATCTTCTCTAGTCTGTTGAAGGTATTGGGCTTGGTACCACCCAATGTCTCGACACTTTTATATAAAAGGATTCTGTATCGACAATGATTAATATTAGTGTATCGATTTTACCCCGAAGCACCTGCTGTTCATAGTTCTTTGTTTCTGGCCCTTGATACTCCCTTGAACTGGTTTGGAGTTTAACAGAATTTATGGGGGGTGTATGTAACGATGTAAAAGAATGGATATGGTTTTGTTGTTGTTAAATTCCTGTTAAACTTGGGATCGCAACCATGGGTTTATTTTGGAACTTTTATTTTGAAAATCCGCAGCGGAAGTCTGCTACTGGTAAACGGGCTACCCCCTAAGCCTATCGTTAGTAGCAATGAAGCTTTCGCTGTGGTAAGTTCCTCTCCGTCCGCTCTCACAGAGCATGAGTTTAAAACATATTTGAAAATCCTCATTGAAGCTAATATGACAGTGCACTAACTGCATGAACTGCCCATACGGTAGTATTGAGTAGATTTCAGGTTTATGACCGTGTTTTGCAGTTAATAGATTAGACGGTAAGAAAAATGGACACGTGGAGCTAGCGGCTAACAGCTAGAGGAGGCTGTCGTGTCTAATAATTTGAAACTTCTCTCAATAGTTTGGGCGGAATCCTGTTGCTGAAACCCATGGTTATTCATGTCCCATGTTATTGCAGGTATGTGTACTTTGAAACATGTATATGGTTGAGCTGCAGGCTAATTCTGTTTAAGACATATTGCTTATTAAGTTTGCCCAGTAGATGGCAGCATTGTTCCATTTACTATTGTACGTAAAAGGGAATTTTGGCTTTGGTTTATTTATATTTACATGAATGTGCATTTAAGTGAATTAATTTTTCTTTTGTTATCTAAACCACAACGCAGTAATGTTTCTATTTTATTTTCCGTGATAAGTATTGTTGCCATTTTATTTTTCAATCAATATTTGTTTTTATTTATTTGGGAAAACTAAGAGTTCCACTATACGATCATAAGCCTATAGTTAGTAGCAATGAAGCTTTCGCTGTGTTTGGCGGAATCCTGTTGCTGAAACCCATGGTTATTCATGTCCCATGTTATTGCAGGGGAATAAATCGCGCCTGAGCTCTACCACTTCGAGTCCAGAGAGTTTTATTCACACAGCGCTGGAAAGAGAAGCTGACCAGGGGTTACACCAGGTAGCTGGAAACATGGCACCAAGTGGCAGATAATGTATGCTGGATGTATAAATCAGTTGTTTTGCACTGCCATATCACATGTTTAATGATAATGTCAGGGTGTGAATAAATGTCTTGGTGTTATAAACATAAAAGAGAAAGCTCAATGATAATTCTCCCTGAGAACGGCTATGCCAGGTTAGAGGAGAGTCTGTCTGTTAGTAAACTGCAACAGGTCTTTATCATCTTGAAGATATTCGAGAGGATGGATATTGTAGCAAGCTATTGAGTCCTGGACAACCACAATGAAGCTTGGTTCACATTGCCGGGATAAATCAGACCTTTCACATCGGTGTTCCACCAGGGCTGTGCTTTATCATTGATTTTGTTCATAATTTTTATGGGCAGAGTTTCTATGTGCAGCTGAGGATCAAAGGGTGTTGACTTTGCTGGTCTCTTCTATGTTTACAGAAGTTGTAATTCTGTTGGCTTCATTGAGAGAATACCTCTCAGCTCACACGGATTGGTTTAAGTTGGCGGGTATAAGAATAGCTTCTCTGAGTATGAGAGCATGGTTCAGCCAGAGAAGGGTAGAGTGCCTGTTATGACTTTAGGTTGATTTCTGCCCCAAGTTGAGGAGTTCGAATAAGTGGGGTCTTGTTCACAAGTTAGGGTAGAAGGTAGCAGAGACTGACAACGAGATTTTCAGAGTTTGTGATTAATGTGTATACTGCACCAGTCAGTTGTGGTAAAGTGAGAGCTGACTGTGAAAGCAAGGCAGTCAGTTTACTGTCAAATCTATATTCACCTAAGGGCACAAGCTAGTAGTGACCTACAGAATAGTATCATAGATATAAGATGAGGAAATAAGGTTCTGTCAGGGTTCAGCCTTAGGAGAGGAAGGAGCTAGTCATTCAGGAAGAACTCTACTCCTCCACTTCAAAAGACGCTAACTGAGATAGTTCATGGATCTTACTAAAGGCTTCACAGACGCACTGACTTGAGGTGTTTCATGCTTCCACTTGGAAAGAGACCACAGAGAAGACCAGCACACATTGCAGAGGTTATGTGTCACCTGGATTAGTAATGCCTTAGTGTCCCACCAGAAGAGAAGGTTCTGGCGTCTCTGCTTAGTGCAGCCCCATATCCCAGAACTGGATAAGGAAGAAAGGAAGGAAGGAAGGATGGATGAGCTCAGTGGCTCCACCAATTAAAAGAAAAATCGTGCCTTTGTAAATCTGAGTATTCCAGCTGCTACTTTAGATCACTGCTGAAACTCTTGTTCTTGCACTTGCATACATGGTGGTTGCCTTCCAATGTGTCTAGCATGGGCCATTTAACCTGAATATAATTTTGGGGAAGAGGTCAAAGTTGTAGACAGCCAAATCTGAAAGTGATAATATTGTTGGTGTGGTGCTCAATTTAGAGTGATACAGTGAAAACTCTTCAAGTATTTGCACGAAAGTTTTCCCTCAGACACTTCAGGCTGTTACAGAAGAAATCTTTGTTGAGATTGTGGCCTTGGAGGCCAATTCATGGCTGAAGAAAACAACAAGCATCTCCCATTTTCATTCCTGCACCGAGATGTCACCTCAGGGCGTTTACACTGCAGGCTATTCCACTCACACACGTGGTCTTAGATGGAAACCAGTGTCTCTTATCCAGTGACATTATTTTGGGAAAGAATCTGGGTGCTTGCTGTCTGTGGTCCGTGACCAAATCACAAATGTGCTTATAAATAGTATAATGGTTAGAAAGTCACTTCCAGCTTTCAGCTTTACTGAAAGTGTCTAAAAGTCCACAAGGATGCAATATTGAGTGAAAGATAACATTTACATTAGCCATTGTTTTTACTTTTTATTTAACAAGTGGAATTGCTAAAGTGCAACTTATAAAGTTTCGCCAAGATCCTTGAGTAGACAAAATTGAATCATACAATACATTACAAATGATTCTTTGTTTGCCAAAAATTGATGTTCATAAAATATTTCTGGCTTCCCTATATTGAAGTAAAATTTGCTACGTGTCAGTGTAACATTCAAGAGGCTCAGTTGTATCCCTGTAATCAGTAAACTACTCGGATAAAACCTTTTCTCAGGCATACAAGCTTCATTGTGAAATGACCTCATCTCTGCTGTGCTCTCAGCTCCACTGTATACTTACTTAACATTCATGATAGCAGCCTCGTGAAACAGCCCAACAAGCCTGGGGTGGTTTGTTGACTATCTATTGTAATTCACTGTTTAAGCCACTGTTAATACTGCCCCCCCCCGCCGCCGCCCAGCTATCCAGCCAGGTCTTCTGAGGTTGTGGTACTAGACCGCAATATTGTGTCTGATTGACTTTGGATTATTTATACTTTAATCTCTGCAGCCATCCCTAATGACTTTCAGTGACCTCTCGCTTTCCTGCCCTCCTTTTGCTGTGGCGATCGTGGCTCAAGAGTTGGGCGTTTGCCTTGTAATCGGAAGGTTGCCGGTTCGAACCCCGGCTTGGACAGTCCGGTCGTTGTGTCCTTGGGCAAGACACTTCACCCGTTGCCTGCTGGTGGGGTCAAGGGCCCGGTGGCGCCAGTGTCCGCAGCCTCGCCTCTGTCAGTGCGCCCCAGGTGGCTGTGGCTACAATGTAGCTTACCATCACCAGTGTGTGAATGTGTGCGTGAATGGGTGGATGACTGGATATGTAAAGCGCTTTGGGGTCCTTAGGGACTAGAAAAGCGCTATATAAATACAGGCCATTTACCATTTGCTCACCAGATGGTGAGGCGTCTGTCTGTGGCGTCTGTCAGTCCACCTGACTCTCTGATACCTTTTCATAACAGCCTCTTCTGTCAAACTGTTAGGATGGTGGTGCAGACAGTTAGAAAGAGATAAGGCGAATGAAGGATAGCCTGATTAAAGAAGAAAAAGAAAGAAAAAAGGACAGCACAATAGTGGCACAAATCATAAAGCATGTGTGTGTGTGACAGCAGGTGAAATGGGAGATGGAAAGGTGTCACAGAGGAAGGGATCACAAGAGAGAATGAATAGCGGCGAGATGGACTGATGAAGACCTGAAAGAGACAGGAAATGGATTTATATTCACCACTCATTTTGCGCTCCGTTTGACTTTGGAAGGGAAGCAGATGTGCCTCCATGCACACAGCAGCCTCAATAGTCCACAGTGTTACACAGGCTTACAGATGAATATGGAACAAGCTGAGTTGCCACATTAGCAGGCTCATTCCCACAGAGAGAAGATATTCAGTCAATCCGTCACTTCTCCACTACTTTGAAAGAATGCGTGTTTGGGGGTTGGGGGCAGAGGAAGGGAGAGTGGGAGGGACTAGGAAACAGAATGAGGAATGTAATGGCAGCCACTGAGTGACAGAAGGGGAATAAGAGAATGGCAGAGCGAAGATAACAAGAGAAATGGAATGGTTTGTTTTTTTTCTGCGGTAAGTTTGTTTTCAGATGCTCATATCCCTTTTGGTTTACAGAGATGCTGGAAATAATGCGGTCATCAGCATGGAAGACAGTGTCTGAGCTACATGGATTGCGAACTGGGGGGCCGGTATCCAAATGTAGCAAGGGAATAGCTGCTTCCTGATCGACATGGTCATTTCTCCCGCAAATGCTAGATGCCTCCTTTAGCATCACAAATTTCTTGTTGCATAGAAACAGAGTTTGTGCTGCCAGGCTGAGCAAATATGAGACAGATGGCAAAAAGAAGACGCAGCCAAGATCAACATCAGTACAAAGTTTTATAAATATACGGCAGCATAATTGCACAGTAAAAAAAAAAAAGACAGTCATATTGACAGCTGGGTAACTGTTCAATTAAAATAGAAATTTCATAAAACAATGTAGTTAGCGAGTATAGTGAACTTAGCCATTTCTTAAGCAGTAAATATGAAATCAGTAGTCCAGCAGTCTGATTACAGGTGACAGAGGGCATGGATCTTGTCTACCTTCTGTTGTCCATTACTTGGGATCCTTTGTGAACATTTACAAATATGAACACTTGGGCACTTGGGTATAAACAGAACATTCAATAAAACATAAAAAATGGTGAGAAAAAGTCCAAGCTTGGCTGAGATGGAGAACTGCTGTGTGATAAAAATAAATTGTGCAAAGTAATCATGATGTAAACGAAGCATGGATTCAATAATCAATGTCCTGAACAGATGACAACTGTGTAGCAGACAACATGAGATCAGAGTCGAGGAATGAGGAAATGTTACTCAAATACACATGAAATGAGCAGACATTGCATACCATCATCATGGTTTTTGTATCATTACCATCTGGGTTTACCAGGATCTTTTTTCCTATTGCATTCCTCCTTCTCAAACATTATGCAACTCCTTTTATCCCCATAAAGCAAGTCCTTAATATTCACATTAGTGGAAATTAGCATTAGTATGTATTTTCAAATACATTTTGATGCATTTTGCATTAAGTTTGGATAGAAATCTAACTGCTGACATGTATTTGGGTGTTCTTTGCGTATTCTAGTCACAGCAAAACTCCCCTTTTGTGCAAAGTAGCCATGGATTGTTGGTTGATTCCATGTATTAAAAAGGAAGATTTTTTTTCCCAAATGCAGACAATTCTGTGTTTTTTTACTTGCATTCTGTTTCCCTCAAAGTTTGAAACTGGAGCTATTTTTGTTAGGAAGCATGGATGGAACTTAACAGCAGAAAGAACCCTTTTTTATATTGTTTGTGTATTTACTGTAGCAAATGGACCAGATCATGGTAATACCTAGTACTTGTAGCAGCAAGCCTTTAACTGACTTTACTCTTGCTTCCAAATGGATAGTTAATCTTACTGAATATTCAGTCAAGTAGAAATGGGTTAAGAGGTTGCAGCGGCAGTGAGACGCAGAAGGTCCCAGATGCTGCTTGTAGCCTGAACACCCTGGAGTATTCAGCATTAATGCAGATATACTGAAACAGTAGTTCTCCCTGGTGC